ATATAATATACAAGTTTCACTTTTTAAATGGAATTACTGAAATAAATCTACTTTTTCATGATATTCTAATTTTATGACCAGCACCTGTATATCAGGGGTGCAGCGATAAAGATTCACAATTCGGTTCAGCTCAAATTAAAAATTGTTTTTAATGCTTCCTTGACTGCTTACTTTAAAACAAACCTCCCACTGGCAGCCCTAACCTACCTCACTCCCAGACTGAGCTGGAACTCATGAGGACTCAGACACACTTAATGGGATTATGGTAATATAATTTTGCGACGCTGACCTCGGGCCATTGCCAGGTTTCTTCCACATCCTCAGACAAAGGCACAGAACCCACCAAGGTTTCCAGCAGGCTGGCCCGGCCCAGCCTCTTGGCATAGGCCAACGTTCTCTGTTGGGTCAGTGCAAGATGGATGGCCGAGGGGCAAAGTTTCGCCGGCTAAATGTGCTCCATCACTGAGCAAAATCAAACTGTGACAAGACAGGAAGTACGTATGATTGACCAAGTGTAAACTCTATGTATTCTTGTCTTTTGTCCGAGTGTTTAAACCATAATTGGTACAACTCAGGACGTATAAAATGTGCTCACAGTAGTTCTTCAGCTGTGGGTGTAGCTTCCATGGAGACAGCCTTGCAGTAAGTCTGTCCTTCCAAATGATTTAGCAAGAGTTTCCTCCTGATGTGTTTTATTTGTTTAAGAAAGAAGTTTATGAAGCAGACTGCTTAAAAACAGAGTGTTGGGGTCAGTTTACATCATTTTTTAGGCAATCAACACAAATATAAATGTTAAAACTGTCTCAATCCCTAAAAATGCCTAAATATCCAAACAAATTTTTTTAAATATAAGTTGATTGATTTGCTTTGTTGTTGTTTTCAGCATTAATAAACAAAATGCACATGAGTGCACAGATGGACACATAAAGTCCATGATCAGATAACTGCAGTCTTGCACATGTGAGCTGTTCCCTATGTTGACTTTTTTTTGTTTACTTCTTTACATCATCGTTTATGTTATTGTTGTCCAGTCACCATGGATGTATCACCAGATTTTTTTTCTTCCATTTCTGTTCCTCTTCTTTCTGCCTTCAAAAAGACCACCCATAGGGGTTTGGAGGGGGCAGACGTCTCTGTGGAATAATAATGGGGTCGTCCTGGGAAAACTGCCCATGGTAGGAGTTGCTGTAAGAAAAAAGAAGAAAAAAAAGAAGCAGAAGCAGAAAAAGAAAGAAAAAAATGGTCTTATTTCCGATCCTTCTTGGAAACATTCACCAGGGCACTCCTGCTGTTTGGTGGGGAGCAGCCCCCCTATCTGCTGCATCACTCTGCTGCAGACAACTCACTGCAGGTCGAAGCAGTAGCACTTTTTTTTATTTAAATCTCTTTCTTTTTTGAGTTTTCTGAGAATTGATTTTAAACATATAAAAACTACGTTGTGTTTTATTGTTGCTCAAAATGAAAACAATTCAAAATTTTAATTTCAATTTTTTATTGACAAACTGTGATCAAATGAGTTGTTATTCTAACTTATTATAGTGGTTTAGTGTTTAGGATAAACTGACAACATCTTTAGTTTGGCAGATTTTGACAGTCTGTGTTTACAGTAAAGCAATGAATCTCTGTGAGCTCAAAAGTGATGTCATTTCCTGGTGAAGCGCCTCTCTTTGACAACATCTTATGACACATTTTTTTTCTGATGAAACAAAGTGAAATACTTTGTTGTCACTCCATATTTTCTTTTAGCTCCGTTGTAGTTTTAATCAGAATAAATAGTTTGGTAAGGACAAATGTTATTTCAGAATTTTAAATTTTGTTTAAAATGCGTGAAAAAATTGAACAAAAAATGCAAAAAAATATTTCCACGAAGCTAATATAAAAACCCACAAAGCTCAGCTAATAGCTTGGTTTTCATTTTACAAAAAAAGTATTTATTTTTTAAAGGGGTGGTCATAAATTTATAACATAAATTATCTAAAAGATGCTTTAGATTTTGATGAAAACTGAGAAAACTATTATCTAAATGTTATATATTTTTATGTGGGATCATGTCTTTTCTGGGAACAATAATTACAAAATTGACGTTTTCTAAAGAGCACAACCCTGACATGAGAATGGAACAATAAAAAAAGTTCTCTGGATGAAAAGTATTATTGCTGACTTTTCACTTACCTTTTGAACTGATTATTGGGTAGCAGTTGAACTTTCTTCTATCCGGAGCCAATCTGTGCTCTCCTACTGGTGGAGACAAGTCAGACAGCATAATTGTAAGTCTCATAACAATATATTACACTAAGAGCTCATCAACCTCTAATGTCACTGTTTGGGTTAAAGGTGCCCCCTAATTCCCCAACACGCTGTCATTCAGATGGATTCAGTTTTGAAAAAAAGAAAATAATCCTGTTTTGTTTCCTTCTGAGTCACGTCAATCATGAGTAAAATTTCTGGCTTTACAGGCTTAAAAAGGAAAGAAAAAAAAAGTTGAGTATTAAAGTTTTCCCCAGCTCCACTTTTCTGCTCTGCCTCAAGCAATCAGTAACTGTCTTCCCTTTGCCCTGTTAGGCCTTGGGGCCCCCGCTGCATGGCTCCAGGTTTGAGCCAGGGGAGATTCAGTGATGGATGGGCCCCTGGGGCTCTCTGTGGGAGGTGGACTTCGCACACCCCGTCTGCTCCTCACTGTCAGAGGGGAAGTTGTCCTCTTTTGTAACCAGAGACGGCGGAGTGAGGCCTGGTGACACTGAAAACAAGCAGAAACATTTTTTTATACATCAGCAGCTGTGGTTTTTGAACATATTGTGTGTCTGGTGGATTGTGAAACATCAGTCAGCAGTTGTGTGATTGACAGATTCTACAGTTGGAGGAGGCTGAAATCTTCTAAATTGTGCTCAATAATAACAAGAAACATGGCCTCACTTCTTTAAATTATGCATTATCCTTCCCGGATACACTCACAAACAACTTTAGGTGGTGATGTTTTAATTTTAACTAAATTCCAAACCATGTAATCTCCACTGACATGTCCAAGTATGAACAACATTAGTGGAAAGGCATTTAAAAATGTCAGTGTTTGATTAGCTGTATGCTGAAATACACTGAATTCAAAAGAAAAGTCAAATGTGAAGTGAACTTCTGATACTGAGCATACGTCCGACTCAGAGGAAAGAATCTAGTTCTGACATCCTGGTTCCATGAGTTACAGCAGGAAAAAGCAGCTGAAGTGAGAAAAGAGAAGTTATCTGTGACCGTAACCCAGATTTCAGCACAAAGCCGGAGTACCTGATTATGTTTACGTTCTCGCTGATTTATTAAGTGCAGCTCTATTCCCCTATAAGTTAGCCAGTAATGAATAAACAACACGTAGCGTCAAGTTTGTTTCTTTAAGCCATTGTGTATACAGGCAGAGGGAGGGGTGTGGATTCAGTCAATAGGTGGGGTGGGGGTGGTGATACCAGACCTGTGACCTCATGGTCTTAAAAAGCCAGAAGCGAAATCTCACTAAACTGCTGCAGCTGATTCTGAGTGACAAACGTAAAAATAAAATAAAAATAAAAATAAAAAAATCTCGGATTTCAATGCTTATCTTAATATATGCTCATTTTGTAGAAACAACTATAT